TAATACATACGTGTATAGCCTATGGAACATGAATCCCTTTTCTACGCAAATCATGAAGCTGTAAAATAAAAATGCTTATTGATGTGTGTTGCTGAAGGAGAGGAGTTACTAAATGAGGAAATGTGCGCTAATCAAGGATCAGTAGCAACAACATTGTTCTATATTTCAAAGCTCCATTAAATATTTATACAGAGCGAGATACATTGCAAGTTTCAGAAAATGTTCCACCAAGTCCCTCAAAGATTAACCATAGTCCTTAACATTATCGAGAAAGCACACTCATATGCAAAGTTGCCACAGGTTGTATTTTGTACAATTAAATCATGTTCAGTTTTAAGAATCTTAGGATCATGTACTTATTTTCTGAATGCAGTTTAACAACTGCACGTCTGACTTTTTTCCAAAGCTGTGTAACTTATCAACCCTACATGGCTTCTGATATGGACCCCACAAGGTTCGCTTGGTTACTCGAAGCCTGCCGATGGACAACATGTTGTTTGGAGACATACCAAGAACTTTAGAAGCTCGTTTCAAGTATTTGTTAATGGCATGAATTAGTTTTCTCTTTCTTCGTCACACTGAAAGAAATCTTAAACCGATTGTTTCATATCTGCTGAGTAGCGCATCTTGTCTGTCAACAACGACGTATGGTGTCCTCCCAGTAGTCATACGGCGCATTAGTCATACGTGTTAAAACAACATATGGTATGGTTAGCTGCACCAACAACTACCTTTGTATTACAATTAAAGTGGAATGATCCAAGAAGCACAAAATTACAACTTTTAATACTTTAAATAATCTTTTAATACTCCTCAGCATAGCATATATATTCATCATAGCACATATCATCATCAATGACCTATAATTTGCAGTTTCACATTTAGTGGTCAGTTGGATACAGATAACCAGCAGCATCCAGAAACTGATCACAGTTTTTCTGACCTACTTGGAGTTGGTCCAACAATTTGATGTGTCGGTTTTCCTTTTCGCGATACACTCACTTTCTGCCTTGGGGAGCAGCACCAAAGTCAATTTGACGCATCTTGGCAGATTCAGACTTCTCAATCTGATTGATCAGTTGAACAAAACGATAAATGTTTGGATGATGATGTGGCAGAGACTTGTTCGGTCGGTAGTGGAAGCCTTCCAGATTATTGTTCATGCGAGATTCAATGTTTCGGTGGTGATTCCATAGAGGGATGGGGAATCTAGCATCATCATCAATCCAACTTGTTACAATATAATCATTAAATCTCTCAGCGTTGTCTAGTCCTGGCGTATCGTCCATGGCGTCGACCCAGGCATCTTGGACGTCAGCTTCCGGTAACAGAGCCAGGGATAATGCTCTTCTGACCCAGCATCTTCTTGGTATGGGACAGCTAACCCGAAGTCTTGTACCTTCTTCCAGATGGATTGGGTGAAGTGAAAGTAACATCCACTCACTCTGGCTGCAGGAAACTCAGTCTCGATAGCTCGGATGGCGGCTTGCTCAAAGTCGGTCTGAACGGTGACAGGAGCGAGGATTCTGTTGAGTTTCTGCTGTACTTCTGCCTTCAGTCGGTGGAAAAGCCGGCAGAAGGTTGTTGTCTGGCGATCGGGAAGAAGAGCAAACACCAAGGGGTAGGTCTTCGAACCTCTTCTGGCATGGATAATGTAGAGTTGGTTCCACAGGGCTGGGCAGGATGAAAATGTACCATCCATGTAGAAGTAATCTGCTGACTGCAAAACAGTCAGCTGATCCTAAGAGGAAAAGACTAACATATTTTCTTCGCAATCACCGTCAGCAAACAACAGGTATGGTTGGCCGTCACCTGTCTCAGTCCACTTTCCCTCAAGTTCCACATCACCTATTGCCAGTAGGAGCGCTGGTATGGTGTGTCGTCTATGCCGGTAAAGGGCACTGCTGAGATTTGCGTAGGATGGTAGATGAGGTACTATTTCAGGATCTTGTTGGGCAACTGCTTCCTGGTACAGGGTTGGCATCGGGGTTATCTCTTCTCTGGCCCTCGTGTTACTGACAAATCTAACTGTCAGGTTCTTGTGGGCCGTGGTTATGAGGAGTGGTGTTCCTGACATAGTTTCCAACTGTTGTAACTCTACCAAGGCAAGTTTTCACGACACACTTCCAGTGGATAGTGTTCCTTTGAAGAGTTCTTGTTGTGAAGGTGACCTTGAAACAGTACCTGCTGTGTATCTCGCCTAGAAGTAACATATTCCACTTCAATCAATCCTGCCATAACAAGAGTGATATGCTAGAGTCTAAAACATAGACACTTTTATGTACTAGTTTGTGTTTTTTCACTAAATTGAGTAAACTCAGTTCAACTCAGTAAAGAACAGTAAATAGTTTGAGATGAATCCTTTACTTGTCCCTAAAACATTAATTTATTTAAATAACATTAACTTGAATGTTTTGATTATGAAAGACTGTCATGTATCATGTTCAAATAACTTCAATGTATATTACTTTAATAACATTCGTTTATGTTTTCATTAGAGAATAAACTAACTGTGGTGACAGCTGTATGTTCCTGTACCATTCCTGTCCCTTTTGACCAAAGGGTATATGCCTATTGTTCGATTTAACTAATCCCTCATTTGCTGTATAACTATTGAGAGTATGACTAATGGGCGTATGACATATGGGACATTACCCGACGTATAATATGTAGAACATACACTACATGTTTCGCTGTTCCTCCTACCGGTGTGCCCCTTCCCCCCTCTCCGTTCAAGATGTCAACTTGTACAAATAACATCCTGATAGTTTCTGAAACAACTTTTTCAAGCAATGGGAAAGAGCTGATATGGTTGGGGACGGGATATTGATTGCCGTGTACAGTTTTTACATTTAATAGACTATTCCCGAGTTTGCAATTTATGGTTCTCATTTAGCGCCAAACGGAATGTTACTAACAAGGCAGTATTTTGATTAAGAGTTGGGGGGGGGGGGAGGTTAAGTTTGTTGGAAAAACATATCCATTCAGCATGTTTTTCACTATTTCTTCGCTGGGACCTGACATGTCGCACTGATTTCCGAGAAAAGACGCGTGGCATCAGTTTTCAATAAATTAATTGGTGAGTCCAAAGAGTACAATTATTCAACAAGTTGCGATGAAATTCAAAACATATATCTTTGGACTTTCTATATTTTCTAAGATACCGGACCTTCGTACCATGTGTAATTACGCGTTCCAAGAGAGCTCTTGTCGTCATGGAAGAATGAAGATAATGAATAAATGTCTTCACATTCACCATGCACAAGCAGTGATTACTTTATACACGGGCAACAATGTCAGTGAGCGAAGTACAAACAAATCTGGGTTGTATGCAGCGGAAATGTAATCACTCAAATGATATAAGCTAAATCTGCGAAAAAGAACAATTTATCCAAGATACCATCACCTCCTTTCCATGAAAACCTATAACATCTGTGTACTGCTGTTTGACGATGTAAAATGAATATAAAATGACTTATTGAGGGGCAAAATAAAGCATATCGAGTTTGTGTTCTTTGTAATTGGAATTCGAAAGGACTGTTGCTAAATTTGATTATGTCCATTGCTCATTCATTAAAAGAGACATATATACATCATTCTACATGTATTTTATATTGTAACTTCAGAGCCATGCATGATACGTAAAAGAAATAGACATTGTTTTTAAAATTACCAACATAAGCATCTATTAGTTCAGACATACTTCGTTCCCGCATTAAGTGATCATCGGGTCAGCAGTGAAGGAACTTTTATCCAAGATACCATCACCTCCTTTCCATGAAAACCTATAACATCTGTGTTCTGGTAGGTGTCCAGGTAGGTGTGTTGTGTTTCGTTTCTCACTTTGTCCCCCTACACAAAGATAAATGTTCGATAGTCAAGGTCACAACTTCCATGAATATGTCAAGACACTATTAGGCTGCCGAAGGCCGACCGACTGCCACACACTCCTACTTTCGGATTACGAATCCACGTTTTATTCATACAAGTCATGGCCCACTTTAACTATTCTTATATTAACTAGTTCAATTTTTCCTGAGTGCATGTAGTGTGTATAGTGTATGCATTATGTCCATTATCCCAGTCAGCGACCCTGGCCACCCGATCCCGTTAGCCACCTCTTACGACAAGCACAGTCGCCTTTTACGGCAAGCGTGGGCTGCTTCAGACCTATTTAGGGGTCCTGGTATATCAAATGTTACAAATGTTTAAATTTCATTCATGTTGAACAATCAGGGATAGATTTGTAGTATTTTTTTTAGTGTACACTTCATCTTTTTACGGGGGGCACGGTGGCCCCGTCGTCTAAGGCGCCGCGATTCGCGTCTCATGGTCGCGCCAGAAACCTATGATTGTGGGTTCGAATCCCGGTTCGCCTTGATTATGTTTCTAGGTTCGTCAGCACCATACCCGTGCTCGTGGGTTTCACCGAAGTGGTAAACGTCTGAGACCTGCATCACTTCGGGCTTTCCTCCCACGTTAAGCTGACACGCCGTGATATAACTGGAATAATGTTAAAAGCAGCGTTAAACCCAACTCCCTCACTCACTCGCTCTTTTTACGTACGTCTATGAAACTCGTGCCTGTTTTGTGCCGTAAATGGAACAGGCTGTGTTAGGATGGCATGGTGCCAAATATGATACAGGCTGACAATGAGTATGTGTGTGCATGTTTTATATCAATCTGAGATACCCATAGATAAGATTGTTTCTTTGTTGTTTTACGCCACACTCAGCAATATTCCAGCTATATGACGGCAGTCTGTAAATAATCGAGTCTGGACCAGACAAGTGATTAATATCATGAGCATTGATCCACGCAATTGGGATCGATCACATGCATCAACCAAGTCAGCGAGCCTGACCACCCGATCCCGTTAGTCGACTCCTACGACAAGCATAGTCGCCTTTAACGGAATGGACCTTGCTTGACACATGTCTCTACGTTGATTGGTAACAGCTCTTAGTCTCTCAATTATCTTTAAGTTTTGTGTCTTCCAGAATGGACGCCTTCCCGAAGTGTTCTATATGTCAGCAGCAGTTTACCCTGAAAAGTCCAGTCCCCTACTTACTGCCCTGTCTACACGCTGTGTGTGAGACGTGTGTGACATCTGCAGCTGGTGGAGTGATATCATGCTTTACATGTCAGAGGGAGGTCAACCTCACAGACACAAGTCTCCAGAAGGATGCAGTCAGACAGAAGGAAATATTCCACCTGACAGTCAAACATCGCCCAACAGAGCTTCTCTGTACAAATGAAGATGACGGGAACCAGGCTGTGTGTTGGTGTCAGGATTGTGAAGAGTTCCTCTGTGAATACTGCCAGAACATGCACAGCAGCGTCAAACTTACCAAGAACCATGTACTTCAAAACTTTGGTGACATGGGACCGACTGTCTCGAATATTCCATCATATTGCGGTATCCATAAACACCACCCCCTTTATCTGTTTGATAAAAGCTGCAAGAAGTTAATCTGTGCGAGATGTAGGATTGAAGACCACGCAGACCATGAAGTTGTGGAGCTGGATGTGGTTGCTGATACTGTAACAAAACAGCTGGACCATCATAAGAATGAGCTCTCAAAGTTACAGGCTCGCCAGCAATCACATATGCAGAGCCTTAGGCAAGGAAGCGAATTCACAGACAAAACACACAACACTTTGAAAGAAAGTATTGGCCACACATTTCAATCTCTGAGATCACAACTTGACCAAAGAGAGAAGGAACTTCTGATCGATGTTGAAAGTCAGACGAAGGAGACCAAGTCAACTCTATATGCTCGTCTAAACACCTGTGAAGAAGAATGGAAGACATGCACTGGGGCTTTAGACTACATCGCCAAAGTCTTCCTCTATGCCTCGAAGTCAGACCTCGTGGAGAGTTATGTAGGGGACATAACTCGGAACTATCTAGAAACTGCTGCGCCTCAAACACATGTCGTACCTTCAGCTGTCTTCAACACCAACAGCTTGTCAACACTGAAATCAACCATATCAGTGTTTGGTGCCATTTTGCCAAGGGAAGTGGATGAGGAATCAGTAAAAGGTATTCACATCGAACATCATTGTAGTTTTATTCATTCTTTGTATGCGTACAGTTTTTTGCAAGTTCTTGTGACGATCTATTTCGTTTGCAGCCCCTCTGTTTTCTTCATGTGTTTCTCTATCTAAGACTCATGCTTTGTTTCTGAAGATTTAATGTTCGTAGACTGCACATAACATGTTCCCGGTGTTAATCGTCAGGAGTTATCCATCTGTTGTTTCAGACAAGGATACTCAAACTGACGATGACTTTATGGCAGACTTGGAAAGGAAACACAAAATGGTGAGTACAATCAGAAAAATCATGAAATCTTGCATGCACACTGACCAACAAACTGACCAACTACAGGTTGATCCAAAGCAAATTTGCCTCAATCGTCATAACTATGTTTTGTCATATTGAGAGAAAGTGCATCAGACCATTTAACGCTTGTATTTTCGCAGGACCTGACAGAGCTGAAGACGAAAATTGCTTCAGATGAGAAACATATTGAAAGCCTCAAAACACTTACAGACAAGCTCAGTGTCGAAATCAGAAGCTTGAAATCGGTTTGTTTTTATTACCTAACATGTACACACCTTTAGACGTGTCAGCGTCTATCATTTTATTCAAATATGTTGTGTGAGAGTGTCTTGAATTTTTGATATTGATTGCAACCGTTAATGATTGCATGTCTTGGAAATCCTTGACCCATGAGATCCCATGACAGACACATGCTTTGTTATATAATACATATGCTATATTTTCAGCGCATTGAGGAGAAGGAAACCACAGAGAAGACCGCCTCAAACACCAGGGAGGTCTTACTTGGTAAATTTGTATCAAACTTCTTCTTTAAACCTCCCTTAATCACATTATCTCAGATACGTTTGAAAACTAAACATGCATCTCTATTTCCGTGAGTGGTAAACAGAGTAAAACCCACACACGAAGTCCCCCTGTCTCATCACACATATATATGGTGATGTATATATTGATGTTACAGGTGTGGCCAGAGAATGCGGTGTTCATCTGCTGAAGTCAGAAGTTGTAGACAGATCAATGGTGCTGAAGTGTGAGTACATTTATCATGTATCTCCTTTGATATAAGTTTTCATGTCCATCGTGTTCAAGTATTATAAAACGTCAACACGTATGGTACATTTAGTCACCAACTACGATTGAGGGGCATAGAGTAATAAACTGGCTCATGCTTGGGCTAATGAAGGCCAGGCGCTGGCAGTCTTCGTGTGTCATTGGCTTGTTTATCTGGCCCATTTTAATTACTTGCAGGACACGTTGGTAACTGTGTACAACATCAGTCATTACAGCTTAATGTTGCTACATGATTAATTCACAACGCTTTGGTGTGACGTTGTTTCATTAATGATTATTTCTATACTCGTATATGCACGGGGTCGGTGTACGGTTCTCTGTAGGAAGTGGCAACATGGAGTCGAAGGCTTGCAGTATATACACACTGCTTTAGACAGGTAGATATATGTATATACAAGAAGCACTAGGTGCCAGGGCAGCACAATCTGTTGGTGCCACGGATCGCCTTACCTACCCCTAGCTAGGCTGGGGGTGCGGCTATATTTCTTTGTCACAAGTCCAAATATTTCATATCCATGGTCAACAGACACGGATTAAGTCAACAATATAAACAACAGTAAATAATGAGTGACAAAGTTGCACACCTCGTTCAGGATGGCTGACAGTCGACGTACAATACAATTGAGATTTGCATATTTGAAGTAATTGCAATTAAGATAATAGACATATATATTTTATGGCTACAGGGTAATTCGCCTTTGTTCATGCAGACAAAGGTCGCTTTAACAAATCTTACCAACCATATCATCGTCTTGGAAATGTTTACCTTAAAGTGAACCAATGACAGTTGCCATAAGTAGACATTCCCCCCGCCTATGGTATCACGAAAAATATTTGCCAGATGGGTGAGTGCGTGTATTGTGATTAACGCCACTTTAAAATTCAATTCTGTTATACGATTTGGTAGCAGTTTAACATAGGTGAAAACCCCGAAGTAATGCAGGTCTTAGACCTTCAACCTTCTGATGAAGAACCCATGAGCTGACAAATGATATTCTGGGCTAATTTTGAAATCAAACCAAAGATCACACAATTCTGCCACGCCTCGTTAAAACGAATAAGTTAGAAGTAAAACAAACATAGTATATTCTAAAGTCCATTGCCTTGGTGACACAAAAGAGTGAATGCGCGAATTGGGTTGAACCCCTCTTTAAAAAGTATTTCCTTGATATACCGACATGTCAGCTTGTGTGAGAGGAACGGACAAAGTGATACAGGCATTAGGCAGTTGTCATGTATGAGGTGCTGACAAACATGATCAGGGAGAATCTTGGATTAGAATCCACGAGCATAGGTTTCTCAAATTCGCCAGCAAATTGGGAAGCCAGAGGCGACTTGGCCACCAATGCCCCGACATGAAAGCCATTCGGTGGAATTAACTGCTTACAATTTACGAGATGCGGGGTGACAGTGGTTTTAGTGGTTTCCAACAGTGTTTCCTACTGCAGCTATAATTTATCGAGGAAATGAGCAGGAAAATACCGACTGAAATATTCCAGCAACATGACAGCGGTCTGTAAATATTCGAGATCGAGTCTGGATCAGATAATCCAGTTATTGATATTATGAGCATCGATCCACCACGCAATTGGGATGCGATGACATGCATCAACTATGTCAGCGAGTCTGAGCACCCGCTGTGAAGAAATGAGCGAGGAAAGAAGTGAGGGGGGTGGGGGAGGGATGGGTGGTGACAGTTGTTTCCAACAGTGTTTCTCACTGCAACTGTAACCTATCGAGGAAATGAGCAGGAAAATAAAGACTGAAAGCATAATCACGAGCACGGACATTGGGGACACACAAACTGCGAGCACCCTGGCCACCCGACCGCCATCTCAGACGACGTAATGGGGACCTTGAAGAGAAGAAAGACGATGCAATCACTGCCAGGCAGACATTTTTACACGTTTGATGCACCCTTAGGATGTTCTGTATATCGTGCAATATCTGCGAAGTTCGGTCTACTTCTAAGATGTAATATCTGAAACATGTTAACATAAGCCTCACAATAATAAAAACCGAGCCAGTATGAAGTTGTCAGTGTTAATCGTGAGTTTCATGTACAGGCAGGTACAGAGGACTGTTTAACCGCTAAATTGGTCATGTTGTTACCATTGACACTGTTGTGTCTGGTGATGTGCGTGTGTGAATAATTTCAAGTACATCAATATTCGCCTGCCGATAAAGTCACCGTGTTACTGAGACGTGACAATATAGTCTCACAGACTTGGTTCTAAATAACCTGTGTGTCGCTCACGTGTGAATACAAATGTGTGTTGTGATGTATTAAGCAGATTATCGTTCCAGGGTAATGAAACTGCTATTGCAACACGTTGAACATTATTTATACACTGTTTGTGACCTTAGTCCCCAAATACGTGGATATCAAGGTTCACACATTAAGATTTAAGACACTGGAACTTCTGCATGTATGTCTTGTCATTGTTCTTGCATCCGCCTCCTAACCTGCCGACATCTCAACTCTTTTATTATTACTTCCTTCGTTTGAACATTATAGACGGCGACTTGCGAAACGGACAATTTACAGGAGCTAATTTATTTTAAAGGCGAAATAGAGTTTGAAATATTGCATATAGCATTACTACAAAACAATACCAAAAGTATCGAGCGATTTGAATGAATGGATGCGACATAGGAAGGAATAGGTGTAACATACTTATCAACAGAACATGTTGGCGGTGCATTGTAAGGGTACAAACAATCGAGGAAGGCGACATGCGTGTGTGGTAAAAACCATAAACGTTTGAGATGACTTGATCAATAATGAGTTGTTCCCAACAAATGGTCAAACTGTCGTTTATGCTCGACAAGGTCCGAATCAATCTCCCAATGACAATTTGCAGGATTCTTGTCAATTAATGTTGCAGCGGCTGGCCCAATTCGGCTAACGGCAGCCGTTGGCGTCGGCGTACACGTCCCCGGATTATGCGTTATAGGGGAGAGATCAGAACTCATGGATTTCATTGCAATCTTGTGATGTTTTGCTGTTGGAGGTAGTCATGAACGATACGTTTTCGTCTTGAAAGGCAAAACGTGGACTAGCATGCAGCGAAAACGGAACTACTATCGCCGCTAGCATGCTATCTCGGTAGTACTGTCCAGTGACCGTCTTACATGTATGGACAATATGCAGTGGCGTTCTGGCAGTCATAGTGATCCTGCCCCATATCAGTACAGAGCTCGCAGCGATTTTGACAAAATCAAGAATGACCCCCTAGCCAGTGCACGGAGGTGACCCACGTGAGATGTTTCGGGTGTGTTGGGGCGTTAGGTTTTGGTTAAAAAAACTGTTCCATCTCTGGCATCCATATTTCTGGCGTGTCCAATGGACGCAACTCTGCAAATATGACATAGGTCTTGGGTGAGGTGAGGTGAAATTGGGTTTAACGTCGCGTCCATGATTATTGCACTTGTGTGTGGCTGCTTGTAATAGTTCGGACTGATGCCGATTTATATGCTTGCTCACTGAGATACCATGTGGCAGTTTAACATGAATACCCCACTCAGACACAGTATACTGACTCCGAGCCGACCAGTCCTTGTTTTAGCCCCTTAATGTCCAGCCTCAGACAGGGTAACAACAAGTATCATCTTTTAACGTCTTTTGGTATGACGCGGCCGGGGATTGAACCCCGGACCTTAAGCTCGCGAAGCTCTAGTAAATAGCGTTATTGACTTGTATTTACAGGTTATATTTTGCTAATCGGGGTTTGCGTCCATTGACAAAAATTATTTAAAAACATTTCCCATTTCATAATAATCAATAAAATTATCCCTACTTGTCACCGACCAGTTATCGCCATTTTTCATGTTATTTCTGAAATATCCCACGTTCAAAGTTAACTGTGCAATAAACTTTGAAAATGGGCAAATGTGCGTATTTCTGTCAGTGGAAAAATCCAATTCTGCTAACGTAGACGGTAGCCGTTGACGTCGGCGTACACGTCCCTGCATTATGCGTTATAGGGGAGAGATCAGAACTCACGGCTGCAAGCTCCTCGCAGCGATAGCCCGTTCGCGGAACTCTCTATACCATCGCTGCCACCAGTCAATTATTTGAGGGACATACATCTGATGATTTTCTAATCCTGACAGTCATTTAGTTTCAACATTGCGTACAATCATACAAATGTTATTTGTTATGTCATGGAAAGAGTTTAGTCGCTTTTATTTAAATCTTTCTGTCATTTCTCACTGAAAATACTATCTCACTGCTTTAAATATCACTTTTTCATTTTTCATAACCTGCATCGTGAAACTCTAGTAAACAGCGTTATTGATTTGTATTTACAGGTTATATTTTGCTAATTGGGGTTTGCGTCCATTGACACATTTTTTTGAAAACATTAACTATTTAATAATAATAAACTTATCCCTACTTGTTAACGACCAGGTATCGCCATTTTTCATATTATTTCTGAAATATCCCACGTTAAAAGTTTACTGTGCAATAAACTTTGCAAATGGACAAATGCGCGTGTTTCTGTGCGTAGAAAAAAATCATTAGCTTCCTGTTATAACGCGACAACAGGGAATCAAATCAGTGGAAAAAGAAATTTTCCGTCGACAAACTGTACCAGTTATCGCCATCATCTAAACAGCAAGTGCCACGTGATCAAGCACACCACTTCACTTTTACAAATTACATTTTTTATTTTCTCTGTTATCGCAAGCTGTTTTTATATTTGTTACAATTAATTAGAAATGCTTTTATCAATTTGTCGTCTGCAAACTGACGTAGACCAATGTGATCTACACGCTATGTACTATGGATTTCGCGATATATACAGGGTTATTCACATTTGGAAAATAGCTCAAATAGGTTTTGGAATTGTTTTGGTGGAAGAAATGACAGACAGAAAGTAAGCTATGACAGATCTGAAAGTGCATCATCGTGTTGTTGGATTTTTGTTTCCGCGTGAGTTAGTCACGTGACAC